TTTAAGATTCTCTCTTTGTCTTTTGCTCTTGGCATTTTAATTATGATGTGTCTTGGTGTGATCCTCTTTGGATTCCTTTTGTTTGGTGTTCTCTGTGCTTCCTGGACTTGTAAGTCTATTTCTTTCACCAGGAAGGGGAAGTTTTCTGTCATTATTTCTTCAAATAGGTTTTCTTTTTTTTTCTTTTTTTTGTCTACAGCACCTGGTATTCCCAGGCGGTCTTCCATCCAAGTACTAACCAGGCCCAACCCAAATAGGTTTTCAATATCTTGCTCTCTCTCTTCTTCTGGCACCCCTATAATTTGGATGTTGGCACGCTTGAAGCTGTCCCAGAGGCTCCTTACACTATCTTCGTATTTTTGGATTCTTTTTTCATTTTGCTTTTCCAGTTGGGTGTTTTTTGCTTCTTCATATTTCAAATCTTTGACTTGATTCTTGCGCTATTCTGGTCTGCTGTTGGGAGTCTGTATAATATTTTTTATTTTTGTCAGTGTATGCTTACTGTGAAAGGGTCATTCAAACCCCAAAGGGGTCGCGACCCACAGGTTGAGAACCGCTGCCTTACGCTGTTAGACTTTCTTTCAATTTGATTAGTATAATAGGTTTTGGGGAGCAAGACCAATTAGAGAAGTGCCATTCTCATCACCTCATATCCATGTATATATTATCAAGAAAACCTTCTCCTTGGTGGATGCATAGAGCTCTGATAAAGTCTTTTCCTTGGATCATAGACCTTTGTTATGCAGAATGCTATGAGTGTATTTCACAATGGGTACTTTTTCATTCCCCTTGCCAGAATCCAGAGATCTTAGAATTTTCACAATGAGTCACTGAAGAGGCAAAGTTCATGTAAATACAGGTTTGGGCAAAAGTAGGTTTACAGTTGTGAGTACGCACGAAACACAAAGTTTATTCTTGTATTATTATTTATTAAATAGAGGCCTGGTGCATGAAATTCATGCACAGGGGAGTGTGTGTGTGTGTGGGGGGGGCACCTCAGCTCAGCCTGCACCCTCTAGAAATCTGGGACCCCTCAGGGTATGTCCGACCACCGGTTTAGGCCCGGCAAGGATCAGTCCTAAACCAGCAGTTGGACATCCCCCAAGGAGTTCCTGATTGGAGAGGGTGCAAGCTGGGCTGAGGGAACCCCCCTCATGCACAAATTTCATGCACCAGGCCACTAGTTTAGCCATAATTTCAATTCCCTATACGCCAAGGTTGTAAGTTCTATCCCAGGTCAGGGTAAATGCAATGATCAACCAATGAATGCATAAATAAGTGGGACAACAAATTGATGTTTCTCTTTCTTCTTTCCTGCCGCTCCCTCTTTCTCAAAATCAATTTAAAAAAGTTTTCTTTTGCCATGGCTGGGTGCTCAGTGGTTAGAGCATCAGCCTGTGCAGTTGATGTTTCTCTTTCTCCTTTCCTGCCCCTCCCTCTTTCTCAAAATCAATTTTAAAAAGTTTTCTTTTGCCATGGCTGGGTGGTCAGTGGTTAGAGCATCAGCCTGTGCACCGAAGGGTCACAGGTTTAATTCCCCATCAAGGGCATGAACCTGGGTTACAGGTTTGAACCCAGGCCCCAATCAGGGTGCCTATGGAAGCTAATCAATCAATGTGTCTCTCACACATCGATGTTTCTCTCTCCTTACCTTTACCTTCCCTTCCACTCTAATTCATGTGTAATTTTACCAAACTGTTATTATACTGCTTTGTGCTACACCTTCATTTTTTAAAATAGTTTTATTAAGATATAAATTCAGATACCATACAAATCACCCATTTAACACATTGTATGCGGGAAACGTATTTATACGTTTTACGTTGACTGGTAGTAGAGCGCGGGACACATATTAATACGATTTTTATAGACTAGCAGTAGAATGCGGGTAACTATAAATACGTAAAGTTATTATAATTTTACTGAACGTTGCCATTGGCGCAAAAATTAATTTTACCAAAATGTTATTATACTGCTTTGTGCTACACCTTGATTTTTTAAAATAGTTTTATTAAGATATAAATTTAGATACCATACAAATCACCCATTTAACACATTGTATGCGGGAAACGTATTTATACGTTTTACGTTGACTGGTAGTAGAGCGCGGGACACATATTAATACGTTTTTTATAGACTAGCGGTAGAATGCGGGTAAGTATAAATACGTAAAATTATCGTAATTTTACTGAACGTTGCCATTTGCGCAAAAAATTAGCAAAAATGGCCCGTGCCACCTGTTAGCACGCGATAAAAACTACCCGCAAACAATGCGTTAA